TATGTTTAGCATGACGGTGTCCACTGGTTACCCACCGAGGTCCTCCAGCAGAGAGGTTAGAATAAGGGTACCCTTCTTTCTGTAGTCTATTTTAGTAGGGGAACCCTCCCCAAAAAAAGGGGAAAAGGGCACTATTGGGGGACCTAGCCACTAGAGTGTGAACTGGAACCGGGACAGCGATGACTGTGATGCAGGCGGTCAACTTTGAAAACCGACTTTGGGCAAACTGTGCCACCCCACCCCCCACCCCCCACCCCCCACCCCACCCAAAAAGAAGAAAGACAAGAACACCTGCTGCCCAGTGTGGGTCCGCCTGCATGCGGCCAAATCCCCCTCTAGTCGACGAATACAAAGCCACAGTTCTCAAATGATACCAACCCATGAAATAGGGAATCCCCAAGTAAAGGATCCTCATCAAAAAAAACGCTTTACTCTAAACAGCTGAACTCACCATCTCAAATTGGCAGGTTCCCTCCAGATGTTGATTAGGCCATGAGATTGTCGCATGCACGGGAGGTATCTACACTTCAGGCCTTAGGGCTGACTCTAAGGCTTTTTGAACCTCTTTTCAATACGTAAGGATGCCTCTTCCCTTGGCGTTGAAGAAAAAAATGTGTTGCTCTCTCCACGAAACTGGAAGTTGGCAACTTGCACTTCCATGGATGCTTCCGACTCGCCCTCGCTCAAAATTGGTTGCAACCCAGACATTTGAAGTGCCAACCCTTGGTTTACCTCGCATGTAACTTCAACACAAGCTCATTTGGAGCTAGACTTTCTTCCATAACCTCTAACGTGATTCCTTGGTTGCTGTGGACCCCCTGCAAAAAGCTTAACTTTTGGGGGTTTTAGTGGCAAACCCCTTGATTTCCCCAAAAGTTAAAGTCTAAAGATCCCACCCAATAGCAGTCAAGATTCGTCCACAAAGTTGTTAGGGGTGTACCGAACCCTTTGATTGGCAAGGGCGTTCTGGATTTCTCCTGTGCTTGACCATCCATATGGCTCGACCATCCCGTCCGATGTAATCAGCGCCGAGACCAGTTTAAAGAGGCTCCAGCTCCAACCATTCAGTGAGTGACAAGCTCTGACATGAGTTGAGTAACAAAGCGTGCAATCGCCTCAACAGGTTGGGGGGATTAAAGTTCTGAAGGGTGGAGATGGGATTTTGATTTAATCAGGCCCATGCCACAAATTGGATTTGCGAATTCACCATTTCACATGTCCCAAGGAACAGGTGAAAAAATGAGAAGGGCGGACCCAAACTCTGGGTCCATGATCCTGGTTGTCTGCAGGATGTACAAACCCTTTTCCTTGCTTTTAGCCTTGTCAGGAAAAAGTAAGGGGACAACTGTCTTAGAGCGGTTTAAAGATACTTTCCAACTTCATGATCAGCGACTGTGTGTTTTCTGTTGGCTCTTGTAAAAGATCATCCGTTTTCACTGGCTGAAAAAACAAAAACATGAGCACTGAAACCTTCTGGCTAGATCCATCTAGCCAGCTTGAGAACACCGAAGCCAGTCTCACCTGAAGGGACCTGGATTGCAAAAAGGTCACCTTTTTGGGAGCTTGAACAAATGGTTTGACCAAAGCATCATTGGACGGATTTTTGGGAGTCTAAATCCCCCTTTAAGCCCAAGACCCCTTGGTTGCTGTAACGTCTCCTCTGCCAAGAGCTCTTCACTTTCCCTTTGTGTGGGTGCAACACAGAAAATCCGATCAGTTTCAACCAAGAAGTTGAAGTCCAAAGATCCGTTACCAAGTAGCCGAAGCAAGTCCTGCACTTCAGGGCCACGGAAGTAGTCAAAAAAAACAAGTGGCACGCCAACATACGAAGCACTTCGTACTTCAGTTCAACTCAAAAAGAACCCAATAAAGAGGTCTAAAAACAAAACTGCTCGGACTTGTGCTTGAACAGCTTTTTGGCTTTTGGGCTTGCACCGCTGGCATGGGATCAATAGAAGAAACCTGAATACTAGGCCGGATGAAAGGAGAGACGTCCTTAGGGCGAAAGCCTTCGACTTTCCGGCAACATGCGGCTTTTCTGAGAATCAATGGCTGTGGCCCAAATACATGGAGACCAAAACGGCACATGAAGGAAATGGAAGCAAAGACGAACAGCTGCGTGAGAAAATTTGACCACACCCTCTTTTGTTGCGTCTCATTTTTGGAGTCGGCACCAAATTTGGGCGGTTGGAATAAAAACCCAGCCGGCGGTTCCCGGGTCTTGTGGCTTTTCAATGGGGAGCAAGCCCTCAACGGCTAGGTCCTGAAAAGCGCTGGAAAAACGCAACTCACTTGGCACACTTTTTCTGACCATTCGTAAACCGCCAGAAGCGAAAAGGAAGCATTTGGGTGGAACGCTTTCTAATGGACTTCGCCTCGCGTCGAGCTTTGGAGCGTGCGGTTTGGAAAGCGGAACGACTGGTCGCCAAAGCACACAGCGTTGAAACTCAGGCCAGATCCCAGGGGGATCGGCCGCGAAAGGATTTCGTTGGTCGTGCGGCCTGCGTGAGAACCGACTGGGAAACCTGACTCCGTATCTGGGCGTTCTGAAAAAGGCAGACCTTTGGCGGACAGGACTGCACGGGCCTTAAGTCCACCATTTCGGCGGGTCTTCCAAAAGGAAACGTCACAAGGGAACAAGCCTTAAACCCGCATCATCATGTACCTTGTTGTGTTTGGTCATTGATCTAGGGGTGGTTGAAAAGAATGCGGAATCAACCCCCAGAATTGCTCCTTTTGTTCAGTCCTTTGTCCGACCATCTTCAATGAAAATATTCTCAATCTTCCGAATCATCATCCTCGTCGGCACCTGTGCTTGCGCTGGTGTCCGCGTCGCTGTCGCACTCCTGCATAGGTAGAATACAGGCTGGGTCCTCCAGACTTGAGAGGTTGGAATAAGGGTACCAACTTGTTTCTGTAGGCTATTTTAGTAGGGGAGCCCGAAAACCCCAAAAAAGAAATGGTAAAAGTTGGCACTGGGGGACCTAGCAGGTGAATCCAAATCATTATTTGTCCTGAGAAAAAAATGCATTGCAGGGATCTCTGGCATTGGAGGGTGCCGTTTTTTTAGCTGGGAAACAGATGATTTGATGATTCTGACGCGACAGCAACAAGAATTGCGCCCGGTTCCCAATCAAGGTACAGACTGCAAAGCAGTCAAAGGTCATTGAGAGAACAAGAGGCATCCATGAAGCATCATTGGCCAAAGGCATCCTGAGGAACCACCATAGAAGCCAAAAAAAAACCAGGGTGCGGACCTCAATGTCCGAAGTCGTTTTTGAGGTCCCCCTAAAAAACAAGCTCACGAGGCAAACACAAGAAAACCACCGGGAGGCCTGCGGCAAGAGCCCCAAAACCCCATGTGGAGCATCGGAAGGGCCTTTTTGACGACCAGTGAAAAGGCCCAAAGGTCCACAGCCCCGTTGGAGAGAAGACTTGGTTGGTTTGGGGATTGCAGTTCGAAACATTCAACTATTTGAGGAGTTCTTCTTGGAAATAGGCACATATGTCGGTGGATGGACGAAATCCCGCTGCCCCGCTCCCCTTTTGCAATGTTGATGGCATTCACAAAAGGCGGTGCAGGATTTCGGTCACTCCAACCTGTTTGCAAAAAACGGCCCTTAAACTTCCAACGTTAAATGGGGAGCGCGAGGGTTCGTGCAAACCGTTGGAAAACGGTGCAGAATTTTGTCGTCAACTGTATGTCTGTGATCAAGCCCCACAGAAGATACCCAACAGAGTACAAGGGATAGTCCAGCCGCCCAAAACCCAGGCTTGATTTGGGTTTGGGACTGTTCTTCATAATGTTGATGTTGGATTGATAAACCCATCCTATTAATAGGGGGAAATGGAACCAAACTTAAAACCGTAAGACTCTAAGACCTAAAAATGAGAAGGACACCTATGATTCTGGGTCTGGTCTTCTTTATTGGTGAAATGGTTGGTTTCCCATTTACCCTCCACAAACGCCAGGGGTTCAAATCCGAATTCAAAGCCAGCGGGCTCCAAACCACCAAGACCAGTTGCTTGAAGTTCTCAAAGGATCTGGCTGACTGAGTGAGGAACCCCAAAGAAAGCTCTGGAGGAAACTCAGGCGCGATACCTTTGGTTACTTCACACCTTGAGATGACCCCAGGAAAAATATGGAAAAAAAAAACACGAGCTTTGGTGCACATTTTCGCCAGCCATAGGTCTCCTCCCACGCTTCCGCGATGCTAGAATCAGTAGGGACTCTCCACCATTTCTTCTCCGGGAGCCTCGCCTTTGCGAGAAACGCATCGATGTCGGGACGTCGGGACGTCGGGACGTCTGGTTGGGACCCGGACCGGGCCCCGGAATGAAAGAGGCCCTACTGAGAAAGGGAGACCCAGTTTGGACACACACGTCAAAAAAACTCGCCAACGTCGCATTCCAAAGACCAGCCATGCTTGAAGGGTTTTCCGGACAAAGGCGGTCCACCTTAGGTTAGTCGCTCGTCGTGTTGCAATGACACCCCTCTGGGGGCATGACCACTCCAATGCAGTCGGGACTCGACAAGAGTCTCGTTAGCCTAAACAATACCGCACATCACAAAGGCAAAGATTCCCTAACCATATTCCGACAAATGCATACATATGTAAAACAAAGGACACTCTGGAGGGCGCTTTGAGCCTCAGCAAGGATCAAGCATGTGTCATAGTCCATTTGGGCGGCTATTGCCTGTTGCCAGGAACTGTATGTTGCTGTGTGCGGGAAGACACTTGCTTCCCCCACACGCTTTTGCAACGCCTTCACAGGTCGACTTGCTGATCAATGAAAACTAGGACGGATGCGAAAGCTATCGAATATTTGCAACCAACCACCACCCCACCACGATTTGTTCAACCAAGCTTGCTTGTGTCAACCAATTTGCCAATTCTTTCCCTTTTTAAAGGGTACCACCGAAAATCCTGAGGGAGGCAACATCCCAATGATCCAAACGCTAAAACAGCCGAGTCGCGCAGAACCGCGCTCCCCAAATTTCACCTCTCCCGCGAGTGGAAACCTTCGATGTTCGGCCAAAAAAAGGTGCTCTTCAAACCGCAAGGGGCCACCTTTTGCAAAAAAAAGGGCCCCCCGTCCAAAGCAAAAAAATGGCCCCGCCGGGATTGAGGTCCAAAGCCAGGTACGAACCTCAAACCCGCCGGCTGTTTTTGGGTCCAACAAAAGCGCGCCAGCCGCCTCCGCGAGGTCGGCGAGCTCTTTCTTGGTGCTCCTTTTGCGCGCTTTTTTGCGCGAGAAAAAATCACGGGCGGCCGGTTCTGGGCGAAGAGAGCTGCCCAAAAAGTCCACTTGAGACATCATCAAAACCTGGGCGTTGACATAGTATACCTAGAACCATCCAAAGAATTACAAAGGCGGCTGCACCCATTTTATGGTTGGGATCATCCCTTGCCAAACTTCATCTACCCGAATTTTGCTGACGTGGCTCACTTCAGAGATCCGAACGGGGTTCATCTCAGGGAGTTGCTTGGAATGCGGTGGCGCAGTCGCAGGGAAGGACTTTGCCAGGTTAGGTGGCCCAAAATGGAACAGCCCTGGCGTAGCGCTTCTTACAAACCAGGGCTGTTCAATTCATAGGCCGCAGGAACACTCGAAACCCGAATTCAGAAATTCATGGCTCAGTCTTATGGCAAAAACCACAAAGAGGATCCCCTCAACCCCAGGCAAGGATTCGGATTGCCATGGAGGGGAACTGGCAACTTCTTTCCAGTTTGCCCCGATGGAACTGGGTAACTTTGGTTGAAGGGAATTGGGTGGCAGCTCCGCCATGCCAGGGCCATAGCCCAGACTTTTGATGGGACGAGACGGATGGAGCGACCTCTAAGTTCCCTCTTCGCGTCCCACGAATTCCGCTCCCCGCCCAGAGGTCTCAAGGCCCGTTTCGGTTGACAGGAGGACCGGCCCACCCGACACGTCAAGTCACCCCAAAGCAGGCACGCAGGTACCTCATGCCTTGCAAAGAACAAAAACGGCTGCTTTGGGCAAGTCAAAACCAGGGACCCCCCTTCGAAAACCAACCATTTCAAGGGGTCCCGACCTTTTGGAGCTGATTCCCCAATTTGTTGCAAGGGAACAAGGAAACCTCTGGCAATGTGCCGTTGTGTATGCTCTCTGTGTTAAAGAACAGTTTTACTTGCAATACTTGGGAATCAACCTTATTGAAGGAGTTCCCGGTTGCCCAGTGACACTGCCACATGTGAATCCGGGGGGGGGGTCCGCACACCTGGGCGATCGATCGGACGAAGCCCGCCCGTCCTAGTGGTCTCCACCTGAAAAGGAAAAGCTCTCCCAGCACAAGTTGGACTGTGCACGGTGGATGCCCCTGATTTTGCAAGTCAACCAACCACATTCAACCGATAAAATAAGGGGGTCCTTGTTCCCTTGCCGCCCCACCCAGCGGCAGACTGTATCAACATGTGAGCAACTGACAGAATTACCAAAATGGGGGCCCGCCCCATCAGTAGTTTGTCAAGAATATTGCCAGCGACCCATGTCGGCACATGTCAAAATAAGGGGCCCAACAAATGCAGTGACTTCGCTTTGGTGTCCCTTTAAAGCAACCTCACAAGGGCGCATATAGGCAAAAAGAATGCCCCGCCCCCCTTGGCTGGTTTCTTGGATGGTTGCTTTTTCCCTTCCCCTTCAAGCAAGCAACAAAAATAGGGCGCTCTATAAGTCCCCAATCCCCAAGGCTGAGAGGGAGATCGCATATCACAAGACGTGAGACTCTGCAGGAAGCGCCAACCACCGCACACCAGTGACTTTCCAGCCGAGGTGTTTGGCCCCCAAAGAAGCCCTGACCGTTGTTTCGTTTTTTTGCCACGGACCTCAACTAGGTCTTCCGGTAGAGAGGTTAGAATAAGGGTGCCCGACTTGTTTTTCTGTAGTCGATTTTTGTAGGGGAACCCTCCCAACCAAACAAGGGTAAAAGGCTGGAGAACCTAGTCAAATGGACCAAACAAAGCGAACCATGGCAGACCGCAAGGCCTGTAAATTGTCTCCGAGGACTGAACTCTGTGCTTAGCGGGTGACATCACCGGGTCAAGCCACTAGAAGTGGCTACATGATTGCAAATTACACCCAACATCTCACGACCACGGCCACATGTGGTTGCAAGGCACCCCCCAAATCCACATTATAATTCTCTAGGCTCGAAAAAAAAAAAAAAAAAAAAAAAAAAAAAAAAAAAAAAAAAAAAAAAAAAAAAAAACACCGGTCACTGTTTCCCGAACAATCGTGTTTGCTTGGCACTGTCTCGCTGGCGATTTTTAAGATCCTAGGCCCGGGCTCCCTGTGTGACTCGGGCCCCTTGCAAGCCTGTTTCAGGGCCTCCCGGTTCTCTGCCATGGAAGAACGCGGCCCAAATCTGGCTAGAGGGTTGACCTGACTGGGGACCTTCACAGGGATGTTCATCATGAATGAGCTGGAAGGCCGTTTTTTGGATCGGGGAGCTTGTTCTACATTGCCCCCGTGAAGAACATACGGGTGAGTATCCAAACTACGTTACTGGGTAGCAGTGTCGAGTGGTACAGGCACACGACCCAACAACACGCCGCCACGATCCCTGTTTTGTTGCTGGGCGAAAGTGTTGATGTTGCTGGGTCAAGTAAGTGACATCTTCAAAACTACCCTCTAAATGGTGTTAAAAAGAGGGTTCCCACCCCAAGAAGTAGTTTTAGCTCGCCCCTTGAGATTCCAGCCCATTCCACCCAATTGAGAGTCCAGCCCACAAGCTAGTTCCGTCAAAACTTGCCCCAAAGCCCTCCAACTACCACGTTCAGCCTAGCTTTAAGGCTCCGTCTTTGGGGCCCAAAGCGGCTTTGGAAGGGCCGATTGTATATCGAAGTTCAGACAACAAGGTCACCAGCCCTGCGTTTGGAAGGTTTAAACATGCAGAAAATTGGCATTGTTCACTCTGTGCCCTGGAAATCCATGATCGCTTCTGGCGCCTGTCCACTTACTCAAACTGTGCCTAATTTCAGTCTTGCCTGAACCGCGCTCCCTTGAAAAGCTAGATATCTCTGAATGGAAACAACATTTGCTAGTCTTGGTTGCTGTTGACCCCCCTGCAAAAAGTTTAACTTTTTGGGGGTTTAGTGGAAAACACCTTTCCCAAACAGTTAAAGTCTAAAGATCCAACCCAATAGCAGTCAAGTAGTGCCTTCAATATTCACCCCAGAGGTCTCGCAAACCGGTGACCCACCTCAGATTTCGACCGCACATCCTCCACTAGGAAGCAGAAAGCAAGCGGCATCCAGTGCGCCTCTTGGTTCTTGTAGATTGATATTATGTTCCAAATACATCAAACCAGGCTTGGAATATGCTAGCCACATAACATATGGGAACCGGGCCGGAAATTCAATCAAGCTATATAAGCTAAACACGGTTAGAGTGTACTTAAATATGCAAGAACGTATGATGGGAGTATGAAAATCTATGTTGAACACATGCATCCCGCAGACCAGAAGCCAGATGGGATTGCCATGCAGCTAAGGAATGCACTAGACACATACTGAAACTTGTAAACACGTAACAAATACAATAGATATCTGCTAGACAAATTGTGAAACCATCCGCAACAAAAGCAGATACAGTTTCAAATCTCCTTCAAACAACCTCGATAATGTCAACCTAAGTTTAATAAATGGGGGGCGTATTAATAGAATTCTCGGCCACCGGACCCGCTTCGTCACCCAATACTAAATTCAGAAGGGCTAGTTCAAAAGAACACCGCCCCACCCAGTCGACCCTCCAAAGCACAACATTAATGAAACCACCCAAACAACTAACTTTAATAAAATTCCCCGAAACACGGGAGCGAGCCAAACAAGTTTTTGTATCAGGGAGCTAACCAGTCCAAAATGATTCAAAAGTAAGCAGGTAGCGTGCAGAAGTTGATGGCACAGAGACGCATGCAACAAGTGTGCAGCGCACCAGGAAATTTAATATAACTGGAACCTTCAAAGGCTCCGCAGCAGACCTCCGATCTCCAAAAAACACATGCCCGGAAAGTGCGGCTTTTAAATGAAGTCTCTTTACAAAAGTGATGTCCCTGGACTCCAACCCCACACAAGCTCCGCAAACCCGCATTAATAAAAGGGTTCACATTAATAAACACCCCAAAGCGACCCCTAGGAAGAACTAGGTATTGGTACTACTACGAGTACTACAAGTACTACTAGCACCTGAAGCAGTACTACGAGTACTCGTTGTACTAGAAGTAGTACTACCAAGAAGCAGTACTACAAGTACTCTAGACGTAGTACTTCAAGTACTGCAAGTACTACAAGTACTACTACAAGTAATACAAGTACTAGAAGCAGTACTACAAGGACTACTACAAGTACTACAGCTACTACTACAATTACAAGTACTTTTTGTTTTTATTTCGGTACTTTGCCCGAAACAAATAGCAAAAAACAAGTTGAGGGCGGGGGGAACCCGTTTACTAATATGAAGTCGACATTACTGTGTTTTTTCGCGCGCTGAAACACGGAACTGGGCACATTGGCCTCTCCAATTCATACGGGGGCGCACGAATGTGCTGACCAACCCGTTTGAGGAATGGGATTCACAGCTCGAAGGTGCGAGCGAAGTGTCCCGCCTGCACCTGGGGCTGCATTAATCGCAAGACCTGAGAGGGAGACTCCGAGCCGAACGAAAAGGCCGGTCCAAGGGAAAACTTCTGGCGCGACACCCGAAAAGCGAGTCCAAACGGAGACTCCCACAAAGGGTTGTGTAAGGGTCCCTGTCAATCCATGTTCGAAGGCGAGAGGGCTTGAGGCCTTTGGCAACAATCATCCTGAAATACGACTTGTATCCCCAAGTCAATCCCCTCTAGCACAACACCCTTCACCGCCCCCCTCCCCACCCCACCCCGAAAAAGAAAATCATGCATAAGCCACGTTGTCTACAAGGGATCGATCCTCTGAATCAGCTAAGGGTGAATTTACCTCCACTGGCAACAGGCCGGGCCAAGCCCATCCAAAGTGGGATGTTCATCCCCAATTCTTTTTGGGGTACTCACAGGGCCCCCTCATTCCCGCCGCCTCCATGTGAAAAAAAGACTCTTTCCGTGATAATAAAGTCTAAAGTGGGTACCCTCCCACCAATGAACATGAAACCCGGCAGGTCCTGGAAGACCATTGTCCTTTGAAAGGGACCCCCAAACGTCAGGTTCCATGTTAAGTTTACTATCGGAATGTTCTTGCATCTGGGATTTGAATGGAGTGAAGGGAACCAAATGGAGAAGTGGAAAGGATTCAAGATGTTACGAAAGGAAGGGAACTGACTTGAGTGAACACATCCTTTCCATATCTTCTTTCCCTATACTTCGCTCTTCCTCCTCTCTTCGTTCGTCAACATTGTAAACCGAGCGAAGTTCCATCATTACTTTTAGGAATCTTCTTGGAATCACAGAAACACACTACCCGACTTTCCACCATGGGGTTTGTCTCGTGCAAATCCGACGCCCATAGGCACCCACTCGTGGCTGTTTATGGGCCTGCTGGATTCAAGAAATAAAGTCGGCACGTTCCTGTGGATGGACCAAATCCTGCACCACCTAACAAACCCTGGAATGATTCCCAAGCAAATATCAACAATGGTTTCCCATGGCTTCAGAGTGCTTTTCGTCCCTCCAGAATTCGGAACCCAAACCAACATGTTTTTTCAGCCGAGGAAACCGAAGCGCTTCATTCGAATGAACCAGAAAACGGGGGCCCTTGCTGAAGCCATTTGAATTTGTGGAGAAATGGCCGAGCGGAAGTGGATCGTTCACCACCACGCAAAGAACAAAAAAAACTGGAGACTTGGGAAGCGAGCTTGTCATCAGCTCCACGGACCTCCCAGCAAAAAAGGCTTGCCAGACATTTTAAAACGCCGGTGTCGAAGTACGGGCTTCTGTTTTCTCATTCTTCTAAGGGTAGCTTCCCCATTCTTTCCAGGGATCCTTCTTTCTAGAAGACCACCGAATACCCTGGGAAAACAGCTGGTTTTTGAAAAGAACGATGGTTGAAAAGAATGGAATCGGACTCAACCCGTAGAATTCGACCCTTTTCGGCAAAGCGGCGCAAGAAGGGCAACCGGACAGGCAAACCCGCTCATTTGGCCATGGGTCAAAATCCAAATCGTACCCCCGGTGAACATCCCGATTCCCCCACTAAAATAGGTTCTAAGATGGGTGGTGAATGCACCTACCAACCAAAATGGGATCCCAAAACGGTTTTGACAACCACAGCCATATACCATTTTGGGATAGGTGCACCGCCCATTTTAGTCTATTTTCGTGGGGCTGGGGATGTTCACTGGGGGTTAACCGGGGTTTTGACCACCACAGCCATTTCAAGCTCCGAATCCAATTTCGAAAGGTCGCGCCTTGGCGCAAAGGAAGTTGACCTTCATCGAGGCGAGCGCTTCCTGGGCGCCACGGCCAGTGCTCGGCAGGGAGGGAGGGGAGGAGTAACTTCCATTTGGCTAAGACCCCTGGAAGAAGTAAACATATTTGCAGTAGTGATAAATTCCTTTTAAATCCAACAAGGGAAACAAACATATTCTTCAGCAAATGGAAGGTCCTCAAAGGGCTTCCCCCGTGGCAACACAAGAAATGAGGGTGTCAAAATAGGCGGGGTCCCACAGATACTGGGCTTCCTGTTGGTCTCCCCTGAATAAACCAACCCCGAAATGGCACCCTCGAAAAGGACACCCCCCCCAAATCCCAAATGGCAAGACTCTGGGCCAAATTGCGGGGGAACTCGATAGAACTTGGCCAATGTGAAGGGAATGTGAAGGGGGGGGAAGAGGGTGGAACCCAAGACATCGGAAAACAGAAAGAAGAACCAAGCCCCCCCCCCAGAAAAAGAAGACGCAGCTGTCAAACGGCCCGCTGAATCGCCAAAACCACGAGTGACAGCATCGCGAAAAATGATGGCTTTCGTCTTAACGCCTCTTGCCGGCTTGCAGAAAGTTCACCAAAACTGGTTTGGTGTCTGTGGAGGGAACCCTAACAGGGATCCTTACATTATACACCTGAACATTGCCTTGTATATGGTGGTTTCCCTTTATCTTGGTGGCAAAAGCCATGTTTGAAATGGGCAACATGTATCTTTTAAGAAGCCCTGCCTAACAAGCCTACAAAAGAGCTCCGCGCTGGGATCTTCGTTCAAGGTGCGGCCACCAGGGCCTGTCAAAACCCCCCAAGCTGCCCTGATGTTCTACAGCTGGGTCCAATCAAGTGACCTTGAACCCACGGACTCAAACATCATGAACGCCTGGTCGAGTTCTTCGGCGGCTTCATAGTCTACAACTCAAAGAGAACAATTATATGACAGCAGCTACAACCAACGCAGATACAGTTCTATAAGAGCAATGATTCTGCAAAAACTGGCTTGACACCCCCTGGCCGCTGGTCAAGCATCGCTGCTCTTCATCTCAAGTTGCTTGGCCAGGGCCGCTATCTCGCAGCCTCACTTGTCCAGAGACTGGTGAAAATATTGGCATACATGGTACCGTGCGGGTCGGGGGATACCTGTACGACCTATGACCATGGGGGCGGAGGGTGGGACGCCGCATAGACTGTGAATGGGCGAAGTCCTGCAGTTGGTAGGTGGTGCATCCCGGACTGACCAATCATGTTAGAGAGCCTCCCATTTTGGGGTCCCCTCCTTGCCATTTTAGAGGGTCCCCCAACCAAGAACGATCATATGGGAACGGGGGAAGCGATCTGGGAAGGTGATGTGGGCAAAGCATCTCGCAATGAAGCATCTGGGAAATATGGCAGCCCCAAGTAAGGAACCTGACGGACCACCATTTTGACAAGCCCTTGCCGCGCTAGAGAGTCATTGGTTCAGCCACTTTCGCGCTTGTCTGCCAACTTTGGTTGGTCAAGCGAACCCCAAACCAAACCCTTGCCATTTCCAGGGCTCCCCAAGCATTTTGTCTTCGAATGCAACTTAGAACAAGCTTCCAGCGCGTGGGTGTTTGTTTTTTTTCTTTTCCGGGGGGGGGGGGCCTGTGAACAATTTCTGTGACTCACAGAAATGCCTCCAAAGGATTGATTTAATGAAGCGCTCCGGTTGGACAAGCTCATGTTAAGCCAAAGCCCCATTCAAGAGAAAAACGTCCAGCTGGATTTTCTCTGTTGATTTGTTTTGGCTTTCACAGCATCATGGGTGCTGGACCCCCCCAACCACACCCTACCCAAAGGTTGGAACTGAATAACTGGTGTTGACTGGCTCCGCAATTCGCCCTCTCTCTTTCTGCAATCGGGGTGTACTCTTTGGGGTGCCAGTTTCAAGGGCAACCAAAGGGAGAACCAGATTTTGGGGGGTCCCCCCTTTGCCAAATAGATTGACCCCCCTGCCCTTGAACCTCATGGGTCCGGCACGGCATGTTTCTCCTTACAAGCAGACATCAACTGGTACTTTCTGGCGGCGACTTTTTGATTCCCATCACCAAGGAATCAAAAAGCACTGCAAGAAGGCGCATGAACAGGGGTGGGCGGGTGCCCCTTTGATTGCAACCCCCTTTCGGAGGAAAGCCCAACTGCTTCTCTGCAGTGGTGCTTCCCCCTTGCCAAAGACGCCCTTCCATTTGCCAAAGAACGGTGCACATGGAACAACCTAACTTGGGTTCCAATTTTCTATCGTTGCGTCAACATCACAAGGAAACTCGCCAAATGGTCCCAAATCCACAAAGGCGATGTTCAAAACCACCCTTTATGGGACGTCTAGGGAGCCCCTGGCTGTTGAATTTTCAAGGGCGCAACATGTTTGTGTCCCCACCCTCGAAGGAGGCCGTGAATTCTTGTCTTACCATTGGCTTGGTTTATCCACCTACATCCGGTGGATTCCAGCCCATTCCTTTTCAAGGGTAGGCGTCCCTATCCACTGAAAAGAAAGGGGTCTCGTAGGTTCCCTCTTGCATCCTATCACTCAGCCGGGAGGGGGCTGGGAAAGAAATCGACAATGGGCTATTGATTACCTGACCATGGTTCTCTTCAGAAAACTCCCATCCCCTGGCGTTTGGACAGTTTTCTAAAAGAGAAGGATCCCTGAAGGCAATGGGTACGGCCAGAGTGAATGATTTTCCTGTGCATCCTGCAGAACTAAGAGCTTTTCCTGTTTCCGCCTGGGACTACGCCCTCTGGGAATCACCCTATTCCAGCCTATGTCCAGTTACTTTGGTTTACTTGTTTTTTTGTTTTTGAGTAAGTTCCCTAGGGTGTCGTCCCAGGAGGAAAGTTCTTGGACAGAAGCGTGGACTCTTAGGCTCATGGAAATGCCAACGACCTGGCTAGGGACTTCATGATTAGACTTAGACCCAGTTATGGAATGTAAACCAGTGCCTTTCAAAGCACCCCGAGGATAGGGGGGAAGCCTCTCCAATCCTCGCTTCATGAGCGGATCGGGGGGAGAGGGAAGAAGTGAGCTCGATGCGAAATCCGCACGATCGACTGGGACTAAGATGCATAACCTATGGCTCCATTTTGGGGTGGATGAACATCCATTTGCCACCCATTTTGATGTTCACCAGGGGTACAGGGTTTTGACCCACAGCCATGTGTCTTTCCCTGCCATCACACGAGTGGGCCCCATCCAATCCCCCCCCGGACTTCCGGCCGCAACTGACGACATCCGATTCTCGGGAAACCGGGAAGAGGGGGGTTGGATAGCCAAAGCCTTCCGACACGACAAATCACAGTTCAGCTCCAAGAGGCCCAAGTTTGCCGCCTAGCACCAGGCTCGGAACTGAAGCTACAAAGCTTTGACCGTACAGGATGTCCCAAAAGGTTGCCTACTAGGGGAAGGTAGTGAATCCATTCTTTCCAGGGATCCAAATCTTTTCAGGAACCATCAAAAACTCAGGGGATGATTCAGTGATCGGTTTTGAAAAGAACGATGGTTTAAAAGAATGGGGAATCAAACCCTAGAACTATGGCGACTTGCAGCAACTCAACCATGGTGTGTCAAGTTTGAAGCTTGACTATCTTGCTTCCCTTCAAATCTCGCAAAGGTACCCTGAACACCAAAAAAGAAGATGCGCCCATACATCTGGGCAAATTCTTGTGATTCCAAAACTGGAAACAAAAAGGACCTTCACTATGCGTGACTTTGTCTACCCCCACCCCCACACCCCCTCCATCTTCACCCTTCAAAAGGCGGCAACTCGATAGCAACGATCTCGAGGAAGGTTCAAACTGAAGCAAATCATCAAATGAACGCAAACATCATCATGAAAGAATTCGGTCACGAAACAAATTGCAGATGAGGTTGTTTGCTTTCATTTACGGGCAGAAACCTAGTTGCCCAGTGACCCCTGGTAGAAAAAAGGGAAACCTGGTTAGTGCATGACCATTTGCCGCGAGCAACCGCCAAACAGCAAGGAATTTACCGGATGGAATCCGCTGCACAACTGGGCACCGCGGAAACCTGACTTTGCCACACCGAGGTCAAGAATGTGTACTTCATATTTGAGGAGTTGGTGTGTTCCTCATATGTTCATGCATGTGGGAATATTCTACCTTATTGACAAATCCCCTCTGCGCAAAGCCAAAGCCATAAATAGGGCCCTGGGCCTTGATTTGATTTGCCTCACCAGCTCACATGTTGCCCCTGGTCAATCTGTACCAAGAGAAGAATCTATCCACCCATGAACCCCATGGTGAGCCAGTACGCCTCTTTCCGACTCAGGATCAAAGGCCGGGACCTTCGTTGGATTAGGACTATCCCCAATAAACCTGTACGGGGTGTGAAACAAAAGGGTCCGTACAATCTACGACTATAAGCTGGTTCGAAGCAATGGTTCCCAGAACTCTCACAGAGTGGCATAAGCCTGGGAGCCCAGTGCCCAGGCTGAATGGCCGTCCCCTTATTTTAGAGAGAGAGAGAGGAGTCTTTACCCTTTTTGGACACCCTACCAGAAAATGTCTTTGACAAGGAGCCCTCCTTGACACGTTCTTAGGTGGCCTCCTTTACACCTATTTGAGGCGGTGGTCTTTGGGTACCCTTTTCAGCTTCAAAGGGAAACTCTCAATGGAGCCCACCCGTTGGGGCGTTCTGGGTGTGGAAGACAAGCAGGATCCAGTTTGCGTGTTTCTTGGCGTCCGGAACAGCAGATGGCAATTGCTTCTGAGACACGCGACTCAGTTTCAGCATTCAAATTCGTGGGGTCTAAATGCAACGGGGGGGTGCAAACGATAAACCCCGTGGGTTATGAAAGTAGATGGCGCCATTCCAATGCGCTTTAGCCATCCCCTTCGCTTGCCCACGATAGCTGTGCCATCTACTTTGACCTTAGACTTGACCGTTGACTCGACACGAAGCGCTTCGTCACACCATATAGTGCGGGGTTCCTATATCTTGGGGACCACTTTTCAGGGCTGTCCTCAGATCCCCCGCTAAAAGCGAGTAACTTTTAGTGGGTTGAATGGAAATCCAATCACTAACACACCACAAAGCTAATAAAACAAAAACTAAGGCACCGGATGGTGGGAACCAAAATCGGTTGAATCGGCTGAGTCTGGAAGATGCCAATCTCAGTTGTTCAGCGACCCTGGAGAAAAAAAGGGAACCCTTTTTTGGGAAGACCATTTTTAGTGGAGCAGCCACCCAAAAAAAAGGAAAAAGAGTGCCACTGAACAACTGAGCAATGCACTTCCTGTCTGGTTCACCAGGCGCCCTACACGTTTCAAGCTGGAGGGAAAGAAGGATCAACTACCTGGGCCAAGCAAACGCTTTCAGCTCAAAAGCTGAAGTGTCCGACAAGGGGATTCCTGGTTGAAGAGTGTTTCGGGGCAAAACGAAAGAACGCCGCGGATTTTTGGGGCCTTCCCCTGTTTTTGGAACACATGTTGGAGCTCTTGCCGTTTGCGGAGAGCATGGCGCCAACCCCCTCGCGCGAGAAAAACACGCCTCTGTTGACCACCAGCCATTTTGCAAACGCGAATTGAACGCACAACGCGTTTGCCGGAAAACGAAAGATCCCCATAGAATTTGAGGACTGCATCGGGGCAAGAGATCCATGAAGGGCTTGCGCACCAAAGAGGCCCAAGGCTCTAATATCGGGCAGTCATATGCATCTACAATCATGACTAAATGTGACTGTTCTAAACGCTCTAGGCACTTGTAGTCTGTTGTTGTTGAGGTTGCCTTGCAGGGCAAACCAAAAGGAACACCACCCTTGGGGCTCCCTCGTTTGGAGACAAAAACATGAGAATTCACCAAACAACATGAAGCAAATCTCTGGTTACGTTGGGAAAAGACCCGAAGACGGGTCGTAAGACCAACGTCAGCAAGTGGCCTGATCAGAGACGTCAGTTCCATGTTGCCTCCCTGAAACTGCCGCGGGTTTGCCCTGCTTCGTGGCGATACAATCTGGACAAATTACTGTTCGCACAGCTCCAAATACTAAGTGTGCTTGCGGGGGAGGTTAAAAGGAAAACCCCAGTTTGTTGCGCCTCTTATTTTGACACACCCTGGTAAAAAAAGAAAGAAACCGGTCACAAACCAAACTTCTTTGTCAGCTTTGCTCGGTGTTGCTTTCACTTGGACATAACTTCACTCTCAATTTGTCTCTGTAAGCTCTCCGTGTTCAGGGCTGCTCCAATCCGATTGGCATGGGGGTGTCCCTATTTGAGCAGCGACCAACCCCATTCACTTTTTCGTGTTACCAACAGGGTTGTGACGGTGTTCACAGGCAACCCCACAGAACCAGGTAGCACCTCCCACTAAAATACTCACTTGGCCCAAAAGAAGCTCAAACTTTAAATTTACCACTAAAATGGCCTTCCCAAACAAAACTAAAGTTCATGAACTCAGGAAGTGCGAAACTGGCCCTTCAAAGGGTTTTGGGGCTGCGGCCATGGGGCAGGGACCACTTGCAGCAATCCCAGCTGCAGCGCTTCGGCCGTGACCAGTTGCTCGCCCTACATGGCCCGTCTTGGACGGCGTCGGCTCGGGAAGCCCCCAGCAACGCCCATTTTTTGGGCAGAACGGGAGGGGTTGGGGGGCCAGAGGGTCAAAGGTCAGAGGGTAACAGAACCCATGGTCAGATTTTTGCTTCTGAGGGCCCCGGATTTTGAGGATCACTGGCCAGAGCCTGTTGAGCATGAAGCATGACACAAGACTTCAGCTCAAGGACAGCAAAGCGAATGTTGGA